AAACCATTTCAGGTGACTACCTCTTGAAGCTCATGGAGAGAATGCCAAGAGTGTGCAAAGCAGTAATCAGAGCAAAGGGTGGCTATTTTGAAGAAACTAGAATATAAAACATGTTTTCAGTTATTTCACCTTTTTTTGTTAAGTACATAACTCCACATGTGTTCATTCATAGTTTTGATGCCTTCAGTGAGAATCTACAATGTAAATAGTCATGAAAATAAAGAAAACGCATTGAATGAGAAGGTGTGTCCAAACCTTTGGCCTGTACTGTATGTTGTGTACGGCCAGTCAGCCTGTAAATATTGAGATATGAATTTTTGTCCATATTGCCCAGCCCAACAACAAAAAAGTTATTATTATCTGTCTTTTTAATGCAAAATCAGAATTAGAAAAATAAATCATGCCACTCATATTTAATGCAAACATTGTTAAAAATGATTCTATGATTTTTATTTTAAAATGACTAGAAACTTAGGAAGAACACTAGATTTACATTGCATCTATCACATGTCCTCTACCAAGTTAATTTCACAAAAAACCTTGACTAGAGTAAATACAAGGCAATTATGTATTAGTGTTAATTGTTAGTGTGTTACAGGCTTGGATTTTAATTTTTGGGTTTTCAAATCAGAGATTATTTAGTTGATCAAGTCTAAAGATGTGAGCCAAATTTGAAATTTTAACATATATAAAAAGTTGTGTCGACAGAATTAGCTTAAAATCAAGATGTGAGACTTATCAATTCTACTTGGTTTCAGTAAGGAAAAGATTCTCTTCCATATGCTCCACATCCTAGTTAAAGAGTTTACTTTTCTTTTTCTTTTTTTTTTACTAACAAAAGTACTGAAGCTCAGACATTTGATACGGCACAGCCATCAGCTGTTTGTCCTCATATGTGAGTAGTGTTGTCACGATACCAAAATCTTTGTTTCGGTACCAATACCAATATGAATTTTGATACTCTTTGGTACTTTTCCTAAGGAAAAGTCCTTTCGGATACAAACCTTTAGAACAATAAATAGTAGGGGTGTAATGGTACCAAAAAATCATGGTTCGGTAAGTACCTTGGTACGGACGTCACGGTTTGGTTGCTCGAATGTTTCACCAAGTTGGTGTTGTCTCGTGTTGTCTCTCTTTCTGAGGCAGACTTTCTCTTGTCTTTTTTCATGTACGCCAGCTGCGAATGTTGATACAGGTGTTGTCATACACACCACTTGCGCAATCTGTGCTCCAATAGGAACAAGGAAGGCGTTTGTGTGCATAAATGAATTAAATAAATGAATGAATTGAATCAATTTAAAAAGTACTGGTATTTTCCAAATGCAGTATAGTACCATTTGGAATACTCTAGTACCACGGTACTATTTTAGTACCAGTATACCGTGCAACACTATATGTGAGTGTATATAGTATTTTGTTGCGATTTAGACTGAGCATTCATGACTGTACAAAGAGAGAGGGGGAGAGTAAGAAAAGGAATGCCAACACATTATGTAGTAGGTTAAAGCCAGTAGATTACACTGGTTTAAACAGAGCTTTGCAGTCATTCATGCGCTATGTAATGAAATCCTTAATGGCGGTTTTCAAGACTAAAGTTCCTGCAGTGAGAGGTGAAACTGGAGGATGGTGAACTGTGGAAAGTTTTCCCTGTTTTCTGCCAAGCTGGAAGTCCACAGTCCTTTTGCATAAGATTGGGCATTTCATTGTTTTGTCATGAAATGTTTGTTTATCGATTTCTCAATTTGCCATGTGGACTTTGAGTTTTTGACTTGCAAAATAATCGGCCAGACTGCAGCAAATCCATGTTGGTAGTAGCCTCAGCCTTTATATCTAGTTTTTTTTTGTTACATGTTTCCTGGCTATTACTTAAATTTACCTGCATTATAACTCTTGCATTGGACTGTGCAGCAGCATCATGATTGTTTTTGGTGAATGTGGCTTCATCATCTTCTGTTCAGGTATTTTAAGGACAACAAAATATTTTTTTTTGGGTAAATAATGTCTGGGGGGGAGAAATGCACAGCACCTTGAGATCCTGTGAAGTGCTTTCCATCTTGGAAAGATACGAGAGTCTACAGCAGTGATATGCAGCATATGACCTGCTTTTTTTGTACTCTGAGGTGCCAGAGTGCATCAAAATAGCATCAGATTGGAGCTTGTTTATGACAAACAAGTGCCAAGGGATGATAACTTGGACCCAAACAGAGTTCTGGGGCTATTTATTGATGTATTAACTATTAATATTTGGTAATTAACTGGCCCTGGCCTCCTGTTATTTTGCTAAAGTGGCCTTAGGGGTAACACAAGTTTAGTAATATTGGTCTGCAGTCATACTAATGGCTCTGTATGGCTGTAATTCGGCAGAGTGGGGCTTTGAGCTAAATGCTAACATCAGTATGCTAACATGCTTAACAAGTATTATGATCACTATTTAAGTTTAATGTGTTAGCATGCTAGCATTGCAAATTTTTGACCTTATGCTATGCTAAATTAAAAGTGAGGGGATCACAAAAGTTATTATAATTCATCTTGAGGCCTTCTTTCCATTGCTTCTGCATACTTTTGTGACATCTCAAATATTTCTCCCTGCTTCGTCTGAGCCAGTGCTTCAATTATCTATCCAGTTCCATATTTGTACTTCTTTTCCCTTTCCTCCACTCACTCATTCTTGGTTCCCTCTCTTAGTATCACAAGACCATCGAGGCGGTGTATTCGGTGGAAAACTCTGTGGAGACGCTTTTAGACCTCCTGCAGCGGTACCGGGAGAAGGCAGGGGATAAAGTGGCAGAAAAGGGCGGCAGTATCTTCACCAAGGCCTGCTTCCTTCTGGCTCTCCTCCTGCAAGACCAGCACCGTGCTGTGGTGCGTAACTACTGCAACATACTGACTTTTGAAATATATAATACCAATACTTGAAGAATATTTAAATGCCAAGTTTGAATTTTACAGGAAAGACAACTGTTTGGTAAATGTAATGCAAACCTTTTTTTTTCAGGAGGTTATGAAGCTTCCCAAGCTCTTGGATAGGATACGCAGTATTTACCGCCTCACCGCTCGCAAACAGAAGATGGACGCTGAGAGAACTGTGATGAAACAGAAGATGAACGCATCACTGAATGGGAGCTTCTTCGTTCAGGCAACGCCTCGCAAATCTCGCCCTGTGCCAAAGTATGTATATGTATGTGTATGGACAGTACTGCCTGTGTGAGATACACACAGTATATGTGTTTGCAGCAGTAGTTGACATCCTGTTACTGTTTTTCAGATTTGCACCGGACTGGGTACTCAGAAAGGACAAACTCAAAGATATTGTGGATCCTCTCAGAGCCATTCAGATGGTGGCACACACTCTGTCAATTGTATTGTAAATAGACTTTTGCATCTTGTTTCATCATCTCATTTTTTTTCAACTTCAGAAAATATTGTTTTATGTATTGTTTTAGCTTTTTATTCCCATTTCCATATTTCCCTTGTATATATTAAAATGGATTTGTTTCTTAAACATTGGCCAGTTTCATGGATCTTTGTCTGTGTGGGTGTGGGTGTGTGTGTGTATTTGTGTGTGTGGGTGTGTGTGCGTTCATCGATGGGAGCCAATAATTTTACCAGTTGGTTAGTTTGCTGGCCATAATAACAGTGCAGTTAATATTTACTTTAATCTTCTTTATCTAGTGTGTTAGCATTTACCAAATAGCCCTAAACATAACTACCAAAATTAGTAGCATAATTTTTTGAGGATCAAGAATGTTTAAAGTAATTTTCAGGGCAATCCATCCTAAAGCTGTGGAAATTTCTCACTCTGGACCAAAGCGGTCCAATATATATTTGTTTTTGTACAATTTCTCATCTGTATTAATAAAGTACTGACTCTTTGTTCATCAGTGTGCAATCTACAGTATATGGTCAGTCCTGACAGGATTAGCTGTCGAGGTCCGCGCCATGTAATGTAATTGTTGGCACCTCTAGAAAAGCAGTCTGTATTGATTATTTTATTTTGTAATAAATAATAGCTCTAGGATATCATAAGGGGACAGTTATATGAGGATGTCAGTAAACTTTGTTCTGTTCTCTTAATAATCAAGGATGCAAAATGAATATTCTACAAGCCTCTTCACAGAAAGTTCTGCAGTAACATTCATTGCATAATTGGTAAAAAAGTATTTAATACACTTGAATATCCACATTAAAGTTACAGCTTTCAGACTTAAATTCAAACTTTATTCATAATGGTAGAGAACAAATTAAAACATCTTCCTCTCTTGGTCATGCCTAAAAAGCAGTGCATAATGTAACCGGGCACCACAGTACATCATGTAATAGGTTGCTCACTGCAAGAGAGTGCGACGTCCCTCGCATGACGGCAGGAGGATCACACCATCATCACACTTCTGACGCATTGTGCCGACAGGTTGTCCTTTGGTACACCTGAACTCGATGTAATCATTATGGACTGAATATATCTTGTGGTGATCTGCATATTTTAATGCGATATTGTGTTGCCTCATGTCGTCGTCATTCACCGTGCAGGGCTCTGTGGGAGATACGGGTTAGAAAGCATTTTGTTATTGACATAATAAGCATGCTGAATACACAGCTATTGTTGGACTACTTGGACATGCAGTAGCAAGACTTCTCAGTGGTACCAGGAGGGAGCATATCTCCTCTGTACTGGCCTTCCTTCACTGGTAACCACTGAACAACAGAATTAATTTCAAGATTCAGCAGATATAAATGTTACACTCAAGAACTGCATTTAGGTCTGACACTGTTTTGACAACAATAAACCACTGCGCATAATTCAATACCAAAGAGAATAGTAACTTACTGAGACATCTCATCTGTCCGATCCATTCACCATTGATGCATGTTCTGTAAGGCTCACCCTCCATGGTGTAGTACGATTGACACACGTACTCCACCCTTTCACCGTGGCTGTACTCACTTTTCAGTGTGTACTTGACGTCTCCATCTGCGAGAGGTGGTGGACTCGCACAGTTTACAGTCGCTGAGAGAATGTGAGCAACAACAGCACACATTTAGCTCATCGAAGACTTGTGGCAGTGTTAGTAGTTAATAAGAATACAGTCATCCTCATATAATAGAGGTGTCTGGGTGTTCATCTTTATGCAGTATTTTTGTCCCTTGTCCTGCGTCTCACATATTGAGACAGTGTCCACCACATTGATTGGCTTTAGTTTTCAAAGGTTTTTTTCTTTTACTCTTTTACTTTGCACAAAGTAATTCATGAAAACAAATATTCATAGAGTGATCTGCCATGAGAAAATTTCTGCAACTAAGAAGGCAGAGCAAGATATGCACACAACATCTCCTGTTTGTTAGACCTGGTGCTTCTATAGACCTTATGTTAATGCGGAGGCATTCAGTTCAGGAATTCATACAGAAAGCCATTCGACTTACAGGAGCATGTTCCCTGTTGGACTGCCAGCCAGCCCTCACTCGAGCATACATATTTGATGATTGGACCTGATGCAGTATAACCAGGGTCACAGGTGAAATGTATCACATGTCCTCCTTGGTACTCAGTATTTTTGGTCTCTTCTGAAATGTGGCCGTTGGGAACGTCTGGGAGCGTTGCACATGCTAATAAACAGCAACATGGGAAAGGAAGAGGAGATTACACACATTGTGATGCATGGCGCATGAGTAGTATTGTAAAAAAGGCAGGCGTTTGTGGAGTTGGCTCATCCAAAGTTCTTTTTGGCTGCTGGGCACAAAAAAGTATTTTAAGATTATAAGCTAGTATGCGGACACAGACTGCATAAACTGGACCCGCCCAAACTGCAAAGCCTTTACACTAGTAAATGTTAATGACATATCAACATAGATACTGATTAAATATAGAGGTTATTCTTCTCAAATTTAGTATGAGAGGTGCCCTTAGTGTTGACTAAATCTTTTACCCTTAGCATCCTGTAAAATTAATCAAAAACGCCTATCCACGCCCAATGTCTGTATCTCCAGAAAGCTACATCATTAATACTGCAGCAATTAAAATACTCCTACTTACCATTCTGTGATGAAGACATTTCCACATTCCCCCACAGTTGGAGAAACAAAAGGATTACAGACAACTTCATGGTCCGTTGACAAACGTAGTTTTCTGAGCAGAATTCTTGTGTGTTTGAGTCCTCAGGGTGCTCCAAGGTTCACAACATGGACTGCCCAGTGGGATTGTACAACACTGGTCACATTGCAACACTGTTTGCAATACTGGAACTTCCATAAGTGCTCACATACAGCATCCTTTGTGCACACGTCATATTTATTTAGTATCCCATCAGTCTAATTCATAAAAAACTGCAAATGACTGTTCTCAGGCAACAGTTTAAATGAGTTCACAGTTATAAAGAACATTTGTCAAAACAATTTTGGCCTGCAATTGTTGATAACTGCCTCAATGAAGCTCCCTGGCAATGATCGGTCAATTCAGGAAGTGAGATGTTCTGTATAGAAGTCCTATGGAGGACCGTGGGATGGATGATCAGACGGCCAAAGCACAGGACTTTTATATGTGAGAGCGGGTTTCTGTTCTGCGTTCCATGTTGTTGGGTTTAGGCCACAAAAAATGGTTGTGGTTAAATATTCAAAATTCAAGTCAACTGTGTTAATTGTAGTTCTTTTTTTTCCTCAAATGGAAAAAAATGGGATTACAAAACCCATAAAAAGACCAAAACCAACAATTCATAGAAGTGGCCCAATTTTTTTTTTGGCTGATATAATAGTTGGAACTATTATTAGGTTTCTTATGGTATGATTTCAGGTTCAAGACAAGGCAGATCTACAGAATTCATGAAAACTCAGTCACTCAGTAACTTAAGAGTAAAATGTCATAATTCTGATAGGTGGGTGCAGCAGGCGGCGCTGATTCTCCAGTCAGATGCCAGTATACCACTGCAGAAAAATCGTGTGTAACAAAGAAAAGGAAACGCTGGTCAAACCTCAGACACTGAATAATAATGTAGAAAACATGATGGGAATATGATATTTCTTTTTGTTTCAAGCAATTTAAGGAGTGTTTGTCTCCTCGCAATTGACTGTTTTCATTTGCAACTTTAAACATTTTATTGGGTCCTAGATAATAAATACAATAATTCTGCTGGGTAAAATACTTATATTTAAAGGTCAATCAAGAACATCTTTTTTCCTGAAAATACAGTGCAAAGTAAATTTCTTATGGAAAAAAATAATGCTTCAAATCAGCACATATATATAGAATGAAGATATATAAAGATACGGAATTATAATAATGCTCTACCTGTCATATAATTTTTTTTTTTGTACTAGTACTATCACCTTAATCATTTGAACTATTGATGTGATCTTACTTAAGTCTATATGCCCTTTCTTTTATTCACTTTGTTCTGTATAAGTCTATTTGTGGTGAGACTATATTGTCATATCATCTGTGCTATATGCATTATTATTTGCCTGTAATTAATAAAAAAAGAAAAAAAAAGAAAATATGGATTTTGATGTGTTGCAGAAGCCATTGTACCTGTGTGTATGAATTGCAGCTACAGAGGTGTAACGGGATTATCTGATAACCAATGCCAGTGTCACGCATTTAGTAGACCTAAGCTACTACTGAGCATGCTTTTGAATCTGCGAGTGTTTAAATTCTGGTATGAATACATGCATTGACAAAATACTTTTAAAACACACACACATTTAAAATGTATAATACTATATTTTCATTTCTCCATGTGTTTTATTTGAATTCCATTTGAAGACAGAGTGTTACATTGGTCTGATAAGAAGGTAAAACATGGCAGCTGACAGAGTGAATCTCCACATTACAGATAAAACCATACAGCTCGTCCGCCAAGTAGTCAAGCGGACTAGTTTTTAAGAGTACCTCACAACAATTACAAAATCATCACTGTTACACATCCTGGAATATCTTCTCAGATATTTGAGTAGCTTTATAGCATTCTGGTCATGAGGGAACTGGCACCAAACAGTTTCAATAGCATCGTCAGATGAACATGAAAATTGATTTAAATTCATGGTGTAATTTTGAGGCTGATACATGTAAATAAAACTATGGCTCATATTTAAAACCAAACAAACAAACAAACAAACAAAAAATGTGTAGCATTTTCATAGTAAGTAAGTAAGTAAGTACATAAGTTTAAACCAGGGCTATTTAGTGACAAATTCAATTGGGTCAGATTTTAAAACCAGGAAACATAGGCGGGCAAGACATTTTCGGCAGCCTATCGCAACCCTTTTGCTCTTGTTTTTGGTAATGACAGATTATAAACAAGTGCAAATGAATGTAGTAAAAACATAAAAGCAACATTTATCGTTTCACTTTTGAAATAAAGACAAATATTTTTGGTCACATATCTGACTTAGACACATCACAATGTGCAGAAATGGAATAAAGAATAGCCTTCAATGCACAGAACCATAACAAGTGGCAATAAAAGTAACCGATAACAGTAACAAAAATCAGTGTACATCCCCTCATTGCTCCACACTGACCTACTGTTTTCACCTGCTGTTATTTTTTGTTTTGTCTGTGGATCAAAAACCTAAGTTTTTTTTAAGTCTTTGTTCCATACTGTCTACATACACAGATGAAACACTGAGAAAACACAATCATAAACAAAGAGTACTACAAGATTTACTATGGGTTTATTCACCCCATATCATTTTGATACATATTTCAGCTCAAAATAAACCCAGGCCCATTCAGATTTTTCCAGACCCACCCATCACTGCATGTTCTGGATCCACCACTGACCAAAAGAACAGGACTTCATCTTCTGTGGATATCTCCAGGCACTTATCTGTTTCAATCTCAGTTCTCTAAATGTCAACCGCTGCTGAAGAAAACACACAAGAGGAAATATTTTTAACAACTTGGACAGATTTAAGAGTTACATTATATGTGTCTATTTGAAACATTCAGAGGTAATAACCACGAATGACAGTGTACAGTAAGTCGCTTCAAAAATTGAGCTTGGCGAAGTTCTTCGACAGCAGCCTCAGGGATGCAGCCTCCATTAAGAACACCTGTGAGGAGCTGGAGGGATGGCTGAAGGATGTCGACAAGTCCGGCCTTCCAGGAAAATTCATGGCATGGATTTATCAACATAGGATACTGCCAAGGATACTGTGACCACTGCCCCTCTATGAGTTCCCGATCACCACCATTTCAGATCTGGAGAGGAGAGTCAGCCGTTACCTGAGGAGATGGTTAGGACTGTCGAGGAGCTTGAGCAACATCGCCCTCTACGGAAACACCTGCAAACTGACACTCCCCTTGAAATCCATTGAGGAGGAGTTCAAAGTATTGTGTGCAAGGGAGGTGCTGCAACTCCGTGGGTCAATGGACCCCAAAATCTCCGGGGCAGGGGTAGCTGTCAAGACTGGAGAGCAGAGGCTGCAGTTGAGCTGGCAGAGTCATGGCTATGCCATGGAGTCCTGGTGGGAACAATGGCCAGAGGAAGGGTTGGACTAGGAACCATAGCACCCCCCGTTTTGACAAGACGAAGGGCAGGGGGATAGGCAACTCGTCCAGAATGAGGTGAGAGCAGCCGTTGAGGAGGAGAGGTCCAGCAGAGCAGTGGGAATGATGCAACAAGGTGCCTGGACTAGATGGGAGAATGTTGTGGAGAGGAAGATCACGTGGACTGACCTCTGGCGGGCAGAGCCACACCGCATCAAGTTCCTGGTCCAGGCTGTCTACGATGCCCTTCCCAGCCCATCCAACCTGCACTGCTGGAGCTGGATCAATACACCAGCATGCTCCCTTTGCCAGATAAAGGGAACCCTTGAGCACATATTGAGTTGCTGCCCAAAAGCTCTGGGGGAAGGCTGATACCGATGAAGACATGACCCAGTGCTCAAGACCATTGCAAAGAGCATCTGTAGTGCCATCACCAGCTGTCGGAGGACAAAACCCATGAAGCAAAACATCAACTTCATCAGAGCTGGGGAGAAGCCAAAAACAAAACACCTAGAGAAACATCAGGGCTTCTCAACACTGCACAGGACTGGCAGCTGTCAGTGGATTGTGGCAGTCAACTCAAGTTCCCTCAGCATGTCGTTAAGACCACCCTCAGACCTGATCCTGGTGTCAGATGCAACAAAGAACGTTGTCATGCTGGAGCTCACTGTGCCATGGGAAGAGTGGATGGAGGAGGTCTTTGAGCGGAAGAGAGAGAAATACGACAGCCTAGTCAGTAACTGCCACAGACAAGGCTGGAAGGCAAGGTGCCTACCTGTGGAGGTAGGGTGCATAGGCTTTGCAGGACAGTCTCTCTGCAAAGCATACACTGCACTCGGCATCACAGGTGAGAGGAGGAGGAGGGCCATCTACAACAGCACAGAGGCGGCAGAGATAGCCTCTAGGTGGCTCTGGATAAAGAGGGCAGATCTGTGGTCGAGTGCTGCTAGGGCACAAGTTGAGGCCTGATCAACCTCAGCTCAGTCGCCTGAGCGAGGGTGTCTGATGTTGGAAAGACCCGAAACACCCAGTGACCTCAGGTAACATCACTGATGATGTGCCCTAGCTATGCTTCAGAAGATGTTTCACTACAACTTCTGATAAAATATATTCCGAATCAAGGCTGACTGCAAACGCTTCAGCGAAATGAATCAGTCATCCCCATGTTCTACGACAGTGCACCAGGTATTGCGCCTTTTGGCAGGTGCAGACCAGATTTCAAAGTGCACTTGTTGTACCCCACTGATATGACATGATATAATGCTGTGACATCTCTTCTTTTTAACCTACTTGATTTTCATATGACTGTCACTATGGACACAAAGAATATCGAAGGGGATTGAGAGAGAAAGAGACCCTATTGTTTACAGGTCTCTGCAATGAGCCCCATAGACTGGGACCAGGAGTAATAGTGCAATGAAGTGACTGCATAAACTCCTTTAGTTCCTGATTTTGGGGAATTTGGAGGGGCTTGGTTTCTATTTGTGGTCTGAGTAGGATTGACCAACTAGGTTTTAGCAGGCTTTGGTTGCCTGTTGGTAAACAGTCTTCATGAAGAGCAAAAAAGGTGCCATGCATTGGCCAAAATGCAATCTTGGAACCTGTTGTCTTACAATGATTCAGCTTTTTATTAGCTTTTTTTCTAATTTTCTCTAATTTATCAACCTTCCCAAATATGGAAACACAGTAATGTCAATGAAGGTCAGTGAAGGACTTCATGTTCTCTGTACCCTTGGATATCTCCAGGTACTTAACCATTTTCAGCATTGGGGACTGTACATGTTATCACTGTTGAAGAATAGAAACGAGCATGATTATAACTTGTTTACAAAAATGCAAAGGAAAGAGCGAATATGGGGCGCAGACTGCTCAGTGAGAAATTTAGCAGGTTTAAAACAAACTATTTCATATAAGATGTCTTGTCTCCAAGGAAGATAAGATAAGTAAAGCCTTTACTGAACCTTTTAGTGAGGAAATTCGGTTGTTGCAGCATCACTAAGATACAAAAAAGTACAAATAATCAGGGAAAGTAAAAATAAATATAAATAATAAGAGGGATAAAGTACAATAAAAACATGAGTAAACTCTGAAACTATAGAAAGAGCAATTAAAGACAGAGTCAGAAAGTAAGGTACCTCCCCTTGTCCCATCTCATATCTTGCGGTGCTTCAGAATGAGCACAGTAATATGGGACATTTACCAAAAGTCTTTAAATACACACATGTAGAACTTTTAAGAATGAAGAAATTGAGGATATTTTTGCCAGGCAATTTGTAAAGTTGGACACGAGGCATGGAGCTGTGATCCCCACAGATATAAGTCATAATGGGTGACGACTAGT